TTACTTTATCCGTGAGACGACCTTTACCAGATATACCTTTTCCGTCAGATAGTTTTAAAAAACCGTTAAAAATAGCAATGTAACTTAGATTTATGACATTTAGACTAATATAAACTTATAACATTAAAAAAAGAATAGTTAAAGGCTTGGTATGTCTAATTTTCAGAGACTAACTTATAGGCTAAAACGGTTGCTATGGTCGTTGCTATGTGATATAAAAATACCTTGATGTGTTTGAGAAGAATATTCTTGATATTCTAACATTATTTTTGAAAAAATATTTTTTCTATTGAATTCTACAATGTTCAATTGTATGAATAACATTTTTTCAAAATTTTCATTTTTTTTTTTTTTTTTCACCAAAATAATGGCTGGATACCACCTTAAAGGAGATAAAATTTGATTTGCTATATCAAATTTTTGATTAGCTACTTTTAAACGATTTTTAAAATTTCACTTGCATTTTTATACTTTTTAAATGTTTGCTTGGCTATGCTATATTTTTCTACAATTTTGTTATATTGACCTTTAGGAATAATAATATCGGGTAACTACGTTGCTTTCTCTCTTACATTGCTACAATGAGCTGGAAAATTATGACCATGATCCCAATTTATTTGATCAGTTTGAAAAAATTTGTGTATTCATTTTGATTCGCTTTTACACGAAGAAGTCGATAAAATTGGGTTCCCGGATGTATATTTAGAATTCTAGTTATTGAAACAAAAAGTAGAAGCACATGTCACCATTTTAAAACCTTGGCAATAGTTAAAGCTATTAATTCAAACATATTTTATAAACAAAAAGCCTGAAAAACTGTCTTTGTTTACTCGGAACGTTTTTGAACCACTTTTTATATATTTCCCTATAAACTGACCGAGGCCTCTCGGCATGAATATGACTAATAGTTAAGCAGCATTTATCCTGAGATAAATACTAAAATAACAGGAGCAAATTGTGTTATTCAGTTTCAAGTTTTTATTTTGGATTACATATATATTTTGTATCCCAAATAAAAATGATGAATATAGCATAAAATAAAGACATCAACAGTTGATAAATGTAGTTACGTGACAGAGTTTGTAGTGCACTATCACGGTTGAGTACTCAGTCGTGATACTGCACTAAATATAAATGCAATTTAAAATATACAAAATATAAATCATGTACAATTTTATCATTTTAGATGGTTAAAGCATCTTACTACTACTCTTTAGTTGAACTTCTACCTTTTTTTATAAGTGCAATACTAACAATAATTGTTGTGCAAAAATGTTTTTCTATTTTTATTACTAAGTAAAAAACTTATTCAGTAAAAAAAAATAAAGATTTTCATAAATTTGTATAAATACTTTAAAAATAGCTAGTATATCAAAACTTCTAAAACTAATATTCAAAAGTTTGAATATAATTTTTTTTATTATGCTGTTACAATTTATATAAAAGCAAATAAAAAAACTATACTTGATGCAATAAAATTGATGCAGAAGTCTCCTACCAAATATTGCATCACTAATATACATAAATCAAACAGTAAAAATAAATTACAGAATTCTATTTGAAAATCATAATGTATTAAATTAAGTTACAGAATTCTATTTCAAATCTTGAATTTAAGTTTAAGCAATGATATAATATATTGAATGCAGGAAAATAATATCTCAAAATCTAAGGTTATTTTTAACTAAAATAAGATATCCCATGTTTATTCTCTAGTTTTAAAGTCAGCTGCAGATGATATACTTTACTAATCTAGCTGACTTTCACTATTACACTCTCGCGGAAAGTGTGGAGTTTTCTTGCACACTTTCCTTTACATCAGTGCATAGGCTTCACTCCTACACACAAATGTGGACTTATTTTACACAGTTGTGGACATTTTTTTCTTCCACATTATTGAGGAATCAATTTTATTTTATAAGAGAATGGCTATTAAATTGCTTGTGGGTTTGCATAACATAATAATTTTTTTTATTCATTATTGTGACTTTCTTATCTTTTTTTTTTTTTTTTTACGCATTATTGAAAACTATGATTTTTACGCGTTATTGCAAATAATTTGCATTTCGTTCAAGGAGCAGCAGTTGATTACTGTAAATTTCTCTGAAAATCTATTTTTTTATGCGTTATTGCGGGGTTTTTTCGCATTATTGTTAACAATTTTAATTTCATTCAAAGAACTCCAGTGGATTCGAGAATTTTAATTAAATATTTTGAAGAATATTCAATATTAAAATCTCTTTACTATACATAGTAAATAAAGTACCCGTTATATTTTTAAAAAACATAACGGGAGTTTTCCTCGCACATAACGGGTAATTGCCGTTATGTTTAATACTTAACATGTATGAAAATAACATAACGGTTTTAGCGTTATTTTTAGGCATAGCAAAATTGCCTTAAACATAACGGCTACATAACGCTAATTTACCGTTATGTGCAAGGAAAACTCCCGTTATATAACGGGTAATTACCTGTTATGTTGAAAACCTAACATAACGGGTAATTACCCGTTATGTTACCGTTATGTTAAAGGAAAATTATCTTTTTAAGGAAACGCATAATTCTACATGACTATTTGCAGAAAGTACTTAACAAAAAAACATTTTTTTGTCAATAAAAGTTGTAATAAGAAAATAAAAATTATGCAGTTTCATATCATAATAATCATGAAAATTATTTACAAAATAATTGAATAAATTATATTTACATAATAATTGAATAACTTATTCACAAAATAATTGATTAAAATAACTTATTAACATTTATAAATTCAAAAGTAATTTGTATTGATTTGAAAAGATTGCAGAAGAAAAATGCATTTTTTAGACAATAAAGCCAATTGCAAAAAGCTTCAAATATCTTGCTAACATCCTACAAGCCGTCCAAAACAAGAATATATCAAATCTAGCAAATAGTAAACAACCATTAAAACAACCACTATATGTACTGATCAAGGGCTGAACATCCATTACGACACCTCTTCAACTCCTTACATCATATTCTGTTTTATTAAAGATAACTTGTGGACCATATAAGCTTTGGCATAAGTATTCATTATATCACACTAAAATTTTATAAATAAAAAATAATTATCACAATCATAAAATAAACAATTATTATTAATACATTAAATGGAAAAAAGAAAAAAGAATGTGAACCATTGCAATACAAAATATGCTTACCATTAGCTAAAATTTCAGCAATATTACAAGCGAGAACAATTTTTTTTCCCCAAGAAATTTGACAACAACAGCCTTTATTATTTTCAATTATTAATTATTGTAGAAATAAGTAAAGCAGTTATTATTAGTTTATACTACTTAAATTTTACAAATAGTATATTTAACATTTTTTAATACTTGCAATACAAAATTAATGTTAAAACAGTAATAATAAACAGACAGGTCAGACGGTAAGAGATAAACACGATTGTTACACAAGTATTAAACAACATTGTTAAACAACCTTATTTGGCACAACTTAATTACTTTAATAATTCTACACTAATTTATATTATATTACTAGAAAAATTTATTACCAAAATATCATATAATATATTACAATAATAATACTATTATAGAATAAAGTTTATATATCATAAGCATATAATAGGGTCATTCCATATAAGATGAGCCAAGCCTTCTCTGGTGACAATGTTTTATTTTCTTGAAATGTATACCTCCAGTAGGTTTTATGGACCAACGGATTTTCTTTAGAATTTCAAATTAATAACAATAATTTTTTCTTTCAAAATAGTTTCAAATATTAAAGACTTCGGAAAACTTATTGGTCAATTTACGGACCGAAAACTGACAGAATGTACAGTGAATTCAAAATTTGACATTTTTAGGTATGCAGCATAAACAAATTTGCAGCATAAACAATGCAGCATAAACAAATTTGGTGTTTTTTGTGGTCCTGAGATATCTGAACAAAATAGCATTATAAAACTCAAAATTCACTACTTTGAATTTGTTTTATAGTCAATATCTCTGAGAGGGATCAGTTTCCATTTTTCCAACTTCCAAATAATCCCTCAAACTAACCTTGAACATTTTTATGATAATAAAAGTTTAATTTAAAAAAAATAATTCATGCAGTTTAATACCTTAATATATTTATATTAAATCTATATAATATATATATATATATATATATATATATATATATATATATATATATATATATATATATATATATATATATATATATATATATAAATATATATATATATATATATATATATATATATATATATATATATATATATATATATATATATATATATACATATATATATATATATATATATATATATATATATATATATATATATATATATATATATATATATATATATATATATATATATATATATATATATTAATATAGTTTTGATTGCTGTCAATAAATGCTATGGCATCTATTGTTAATATATATATACATACATATATATATATATATATATATATATATATATATATATATATATATATATATATATATATATATATATATATATATATATATATATATATATATATATATATATATATATATATATATATTAACAATAGATGCCATGGCATTTATTGTCAGCAATCAAAACATACCAATCAGTTATGGACTTCAGAACCAAAAATACAATAAATATATATTAATTTACAACCAAAATGCTGTTTTATAGCTAAGTTACTTCGTAAGTGGTAAATACCGTATGTAAATAAAATAAGTAAACTAAAATAGTAGAGAATTATAAACAAAAAATGTAATTTCAAAAATCCTTAAGATACGCGCTATTTTACAATGATAAAGCTGTTAAACATAACGGTTAAACATAACGCTTTACAAATATCATACAAATAATTTTGGGCATAAAGCTTTAAACTTAACATAACGCTAACATAACGGTGAACATAACGCCAAAATTTTCATTTACCGTTATGTAACCGTTATTTAATTATTGTCAAGTAAACTAAAACAATTAGTAGATGCAGATGAAAAAAGAATCAATTATAATTAGTAAATTAAAAAAATATTGGAAATAAATTTTAATAGTTATCTCTAACAAAAAAATCCTTTATAATTAATATTGATATACAAATAATAGACATCTTAAAGATTAAAAAAAAATGAATAAAGCATTTTTAAACCCACCTGGGATTTAAAGAGATTTATACATTTGTAAGAAAAGCTATGTTTGTAAACAAATCAGCAACGGTTGAACTTTTCACAGTACATTTAAGTCCCATGACTTTCTCCAAAAAGCCATAAAAAAATCTTAATTCGGTCGGATATTCCACAGCAAAAACATAAAAAGACATAAATAAAAACTCCAATGCCTCCATAAAACAGCTGCAAAAAGGCAATGTTATAAATGTGTTGTCAACCTTTATATAATATCCATCAGATATGCGCAACAGGATCGGTTGTTTAACCCCGTTATCCTCCAGTTTCTTTAGTGCACAGTCAACTGTGTCATCCTACATAATGTATAAACATTTTTTTACAATATCAATTTTACTATCACATAGAGTAGCAATAACATCAATAAAATAATGATAAAAATATATAAAAAAATAAATATAAAAACTTCTACAAAAATATTAATTCAAAAATTTCAAAAAAAAACAATACCTTGAAGTCAAAGAAAAGATTTTGCATAGCCATATTCAGTAGCAAACTAGCCCTTTTAACTGATTTTTGTGGTGGGGTAGGGAGAACCCAAACAAGTTTCTTGTCTAACTCTAAAAAAAAAAAACACTTTTTTCCACTCACTCCAAAACACTTTTCTTGTCTAACTCTAAAAAAGAAAAAAAAAATTTGAACTGATATTAAACAGATTTATAACTTGTATAATTAAACAGATATATAACCTAATATGTATATTTAAACAGATATATAACTTATAAGATATATAACAGATATATTAAACAGATATATAACTTAATATGTATATTTGTATACTTAAACAGTTATATAACTTATGCAAATGAATAAAAATCACAAAAAGTTTTTTATAATTATTATTCAGGTAGAATAATACATTACATTAAATAGTATTAAAAATAGTAAAAACTAAGATAGCTTAGTTGAGCACTTTATAATTTAGTAACAACAAACTGCAATTTTTAATTGGACTGTAAAAAGTTTATAATTCAGCTTCATCTAACTCTTTCGTTAAGGAAATCATTAGAGTATTCAATGAGGGCTTCAATTTGGCATACTCCAGAATTTTAAGTTTGCATTTCTGCCTCTCAACATACAATCTCGTTTTTATAAAATTGCAACTTTGGAATTCTTTAAGAATCTAATATAAATATAAATATATATATATTTATATTTAGACTTTAATATATATATATATATATATATATATATATATATATATATATATGTATATATATATATATATATATATATATATATATATATATATATATATATATATATATATATATATATATATATATATATATATATATATATATATATTATAAAAAGCCAATAAGTCACAAAAAAAATTCAAATTTTTACAAAATTTACAGCACTGCAAATTCCATTAAAAATAGTATTGGGAGCAAACTATATGTTTTAATAAGTAAATGTAAATTTACTGATTCTGGCATGTCTAGTAACCGCGGGTACTGGTTTACAATTTCTGTGATTGATGGAAACGATGTGTTGAACCATGATCGCCTATAATTTCCTGTAATCTTCATTAATTTATTTAGCTCTTCTTTGTTTTGGGCATTAGGCCTTTGTTCGCGTAGTAATCGAACAGCACTTTCAACATCATCGCTAGTAGTGAGACTTATTCTGCTAATAGCAAGACTACTGATAAAAGGTGAGGGATAAAAAAACTTATTGAAATTTAAAAAAAGGGCTAACAATTATAATAATCGTTTATCATCATCATGATCATTATCATCATTTATTAAATGAAGGACATTTTAGATCTAAAATTTACCTATTTGATGATGAATGTACTACCACTATGTAGTTATATCTTTACAATCCGGCTTTGAACAAAGTATTCCAGCTTTCCACCAAATGATTTTCTATCAAAGAAGTATCCCTAAAGATAACAAAAAATAATAACACTCAGAGTTTAAAACTTAATCAATTAACTAACTTAATTGATTAAATATATTACTCACGTAGCCACTTGCTGTTCCACCATGTAAGATAGGAAAACAGTCAATAAATGACTTTGATAAGTCCTGCTTCTCAGTAACATATGGCCTATCTTTTCTAAAATATAGAAATATAAAAATTATTTTAACTAATTGAAATCGTATCAAATTTTTGATTTTATTTGTACTTACTGAGCACAGTTGTTCATCAGGTAACGGCCACAAACTTTTGTTTGTGGGCGTTACCTGATGAAAACTAACATTTCCGCTTTTTCAATCCGCTCTCCTTACTTTAACTTTTGTGTTGTTGACCACAAAATCGAGGTTTATGCTGCTGCTCTAATATAATATTATCAACTCGCAGATTCTGATAAAATTAATGGAAATATGCAACTAACATAATATCGTAATATTTCCTTTTAGAATTTACATACTATTCAAAATACACACTTCAACATTATTACTTTTATTATTATTATGATTACTTTTTATTGTGCCATTTTAGCAATCATTTCTTAATTGTTTGAAAACTAACCTTGAAACTGATTACACTAGTAGTGGTGTAGCTGTCTATTCTGGGTGAAGCAATAACTGACTCTCTAATACTCAATAAACACTGTGGGGTAACATATTCATTACCAGTTGGAACATTAACAACCGATTGGACGCTAATCCATTCCTGCAGTAACCTTCTTTCTACCATCCTAAATCCTAATTTGACAAGATCTTCTCCTGTGGCTTATACAAATGACGTTAGAGTAAAACCAGTTTCTAAAATAAAACGATATAATAAATAAGTCGTTCTTCATATGTGTATTGATATGAAACAAAAAGTTTAAGACATATATTTGGGTAAATCGTTATTTTAGGTCTGTTTATTTAAAGAGAAAGTGAATATCTTTTAAGATACATATACTTTATTATATACTAAAAGAGAGAAAACCTTACCAAATAAAGCATTTTGAATATTGTCAGAGAGAACAGATAATTCCAATACAGTGGCAAGTGTGTTGATTAGACTCATGGTTTCAAAATATATCAACTAAACATAATCAAATCAATCAATTTACTATATTTCCAAATTTAACAATAACACTATATATACAATCATTAGGGACATTTACAAACAATTATAAACTGATGACCTGTATTATACAAAAAAAAAAAATAACTTTCTTGTCTGAGGTGGCCTAGGACTTAAATAGGTGAATAACAGTTGTACAGTTGTTAAAAAACACTTTTTTTAAACAACTGTAAAACTTTGTAGGAAACGTTTCTTTACATTTTGTAAAAACCTTTTTTCTAAAAAAATTTTATATTTGCTATAAAGAAAACATTTTAGATTAAACTTTAAAAATTATGTTATAAAAAATGCTAAATAATAAAATAATTAGAAAAAACATTGCTATTGATCTATATAAAGTAACTAAAGTTTACACTATTTACAAAAGAAATTATTAATTAAAAAACATGATAGGGCAATCAAACAAAGTTCTTCTTTTCAGTAGTCGCACGCAAACTATGACAATAAAGTGGATGAAAATCAACAAAATTAGAAAGCTGGAAAATCTGGTACTCTGGTTGGCAAAGAAATATTACTTCATAAGAATGAAGGTGATAAGTAAAATTGTTTGTTTTCACAATTTCTAAAAAAAATGCCACTTCTCTCTTTTGTACATATCAACTTGACTGTTTGCGCTTGAAATGAAGCATACAATTTTTCCAAAGTTTGACAAGCCAGTCTCCATATCTATATTAACTGCAATAAAATGTTCTAGTTTGTATTCAACACTTCCCGCATGCAATGTTTTTGCAACAGCAGTTTCGTCACATGACTTAAAACACTATATATTTTGCATAGCGTTATAAAAAGGAAGCGAATAAGTAGACTCAATACTATATTTTAACACTGTGATAATTTTGCAAATATGTTTGTCTGAGAGTTGTGACTTCAAAGCCTGTTGCTGATGTCTATGCGCTAGAGTAAAATAAATAATATTTTTAGTAGCTGGAAACGTAATGTATTTAGCTACGCGGGTAATATAAAATGGTAGTAATATAATATTAAGTAATACTAAAAAAAAAAAAAATTAGATTTGTTTAACGCTAAATTTTTTTTTTCATAAAATATATGTAAAATAGCAGTGTTGTCATTAATATTTTCAAACTAAAAGATAATAATATTACTTTTATTATTCAATCTTGTATTGTTATTTTAAAGTCGCTACACCATAAAGCTATTAAATATACTTATTATATATACCAATAATATTTTTAAAAATATGTGGCTATGAAAATAGCCGTTTTAGTAGGTTCAAGTCGTCTCACTTTCTCTTTAGTTTTCATGTTCTAAAATGGAAGGTGTTTTTTAATTGATCTATGTTATATATCAAGTTAGTTTGACTTTTTTAAATTCTGAAAGCTTTCAGCTTATCATTTGCAGTATAAGATCTAAGAACTTATATATTAAGTGTTAGTCAATGCATATTTATAATGAGAATGTTCAGGCAAAGTCTGATTATCCGATATGCAAGTCGAGCCCGTTCAGCCTCAGTGATGGAAGAAATTTAGTGCCTCATTGTATCAGAGTTACTAAGGGGTGTATATTTACAATTGGGTGTATATTTACAGTTGGGGTGTCATAGGGGGTTCTCACTGATGTCTTTTAGCAGACTTTCCGAGAGTTCCTCAAACAGTTTTTCTTCCTCCTTCTTTTTTTCGTTGTTTCTCTTTTTTTCTTCTTTAAGTTTATAAAAATTTTCTAAAAAGGTGACCCACCCGGTTATCTCCTTTAGCTCTAAGTCAGTGTAGAGCCTTTTGTTTGCTTTAATGTGGACCATTCGATCGTGGATTGGTAACCTTTCACCTAACAATAAGTGTTTAGCATTAGATATTAGATTTTTTATTTTCAGTTTAGTAAGGTTATTATTGCTTGCAATCAGACACCTCAATTTTTGAGTAGCGCTCTTAGCGCATTAGTGCAGATCGAGATTTTGTGCAGGTAAAAATATATGATAAAAGTATGATTTTTTCATATTTTAAATTTTGTAAAAATAAAATTATTTAAAAATGATGTTTACAAAAATTGCATTTTGCATGTTTAAGTTCACTGATTCCATTTATGTTTTTTCGTTTGTTACCTCCATTAGTATATTAATGATTGTGTCATTGTTTAACGATTCTTTCTCTGTCAGCGTTTTTATATCTGGTGGATATTTGATAGTCTTTTATAGATTTTTTGTTTTTGAATACTTTTTCCGATTTTTTGAGGAAGACCTTTTTTAGGTCCACGTCATTTTCGATGATTCTCCAGTGTTTGAGTACCATTTCACCCGATTCCGTTCCTGCTTTGTTGTTCAGCATGACAATTGGTATAACATTGTTGGTGGTGTAGTCTTTTGTTTCAGTTTTCTCTGTATTGTTTTTGTCTCTCTTTGTTAGTAGTTCCTCTTGTGTATTTTTATGGGGATTGGTGATTTTGTGATTGATTGTATTTAGAGGGTATCCTTTATAAATAGGTTTTTTGACAAGCATTTTAGTTCTTCCGACAGGTCAGTGTTGCTGCTGACAAGCCTGTTTAATCCAAGTGCTTGTCCGTAA